TGGTCTTTGCGTGAATTAAAAATTGGGGAGGTTCTGCCCGATTTTTCTTAAGCCATACGACTAGCCAAATATGGTGGTACAACATTATATGTTAACGGCAATATCATTTCACTTGTTGAGATGCAAGTCATTGTGTCGAGCTTGATTGAGTAATAAGGAAGATGTCATGTATTTATGTTAAGGCTATCCTTTATTTCTTTTGGCATGATCCATAGGATGCAAATGAAACGTGTAAATGCACAACTTCCATAAATGACTCTATTCATAGAAACGCTAGAGATGCTTATATTCTTGATTCTCCATATGTCATATTATTCTATCATCTGTTCATAGGTCTCAAAAAAATACGTAAGTTGAAAGATTTCACTTCATGATATTAGTCGAAGGCATAATGGTCTTATGACATTCCAAGAGATTTTATTGATGTACTTCTTATGCATTACATTCATGTACATTGACCATGACCACATTGCGTTATATACGCGTATATATGTATATATATAAGGGATATGAGAAAAGGTTATGGCATTATATACGCACCACCACCAGATCAGCTGGTATACGTTGATAATTTGCCCATAGTGGCCGAGATGATATGATGGGATGCCCTCAGAGGCTTGATGATGTTATGAACACATATACCCATGCATGGTATGACATTTATACGCATATGCATAACATTATAATATTAAATGATTCATAGAGTTATTCAAATATACATGTTGAGTCTTTTACTCCATGTTTCTCTCATGTCTACTAGTTACTGATTTTCATTCCTTACATACTCGGTACATTATTTGTACTGACATTCTTTTTTCTTGGGGACACTGCGTTTCATGCCCGCAGGTCCTGATAGACAGGTCGAGAGTCCTCCAACTATGCTATCAGCTCAGTGGAAGGTAGTTGTGCACTCCATTTGCTCCAGAGTTGCTTCTTTGGTCAGTATGATTAGTACATGTATAGATTGGTATGGCGAGATCCTGTCCCGACCTTTACGATATTATGTATTCTTAGAGGCTTGTAGACAGATATCATGTATACGGATACTTGTATGGCCTTGTCGGCCTATGTTTCGAGTATATAAAGAATCATGCCGGCCTTATAGGCCTGTACTTCATATGTATAAGTTTGTATTCCCTCATGCTTTACTTCGGTTCATTTATCTATGATAGAATGATATGAAAGATACGTTATGTTGGTACTCGGTTGAGTAAGGTACCGGGTGCCCATCACGACCCATAGGTTTGGGTCATGACATGTAAGGCTCATTGCAGTAGTTATCTTTTGCTCCATTAAGAATTTGAGGTTGAAGTGATCAGTATTGATGATGAAATGCCCCACTTGAATGTAATTCCTCCATTTGTCTATGGCTGCAATGACAACCATATACTCCTTCTCATAATACTTGCCTAGATGTCTTGGTGCTAGGGTCTTGTTGTAGTAAGCTATGAGTTTGTTCTCTTGTGTTAACACAGCTCCAATGCCACGATTGCTAGCATCAGCCTCGATAAGAAAGGTCTTAGTGTAATCTAGCATTGCTAGCACATGAGTGTTATTCATGGTCTGTTTCAACTGAATAAAAGCTTCTCCTTCTTCTCGTCCCCACTACAAGCATTCTTCTTAATTAGTGAATTCGGATGTTTATTCATATTCCCACAGTTCTTAATAAATCTTCTATAATATCCTGTCAAACCCACGAACCCCTGCAATCCTTTGATGTTTTTAGGCTTGGGCCAATTCATAATGGTCTCCACCTTGGATGGATCAGTGGACACTCTTTTGGTTGTGATATTATGTCCCAAATACTCCACCTGGGATTTGAAAAAGGTGCACTTGGACCTCTTGGCAAACAACTGATTCTGCCAAAGTATGTTGAATGTTTGTTTTAGATGCTCCACATGGTCTGATAGTATCTTGGTGTACACTACTATATCATCAAAGAAAACCAATATAAAGTTTCCCCGGAATGGTCCAAATAGTGAGTTTATTAGGGCCTGAAAAGTAGGCGGTGCATTTAATTCTCTAATTCATCTTGCAATATGTCTGAAACTTGCTTCTCTAATTCAGCTTCTTGCTTGAAAAGTTTTCCAGGAATGGTCCAAAGACCTTGCAACATGTCTGAAACTTGTTTCTCTAATTCAGCTTTCTGATAATGGTTGTACCTGTAAGGTCTTTGTAATACTAGTTTACCTCCTAGACTAATAGGTATAGCATGATCATAATCTCTTGGTGGAGGCAGTGACTTGGGTTCTTCAAAAATAGGTGCATAAAATTGCGGAACATGTTACACCTGTTCTGGTGTATTCTCAATGGTCTTACTTCTTTGCTTACAATAGTGAAAAAAGGAGCTAGAAGTGTCTATCATTTCCTTATCAATTTTCCCATAGGCTTGGTTGTGATCTGATACATCTCGCGTTGTCCTGTATCACCCTTCAATATCACCATCATACCAAATTGTTTGATTCTCAAAACATAGGGCTCATAGTCAAATGTGACAAGAGTGTGATCTCATCCAATCCCCTCCCAGTACTATATCACAACTGCCTATATTCAACAACCAAAACTTATCTTCAAATTCTATGCCACTGATTTTTTCATTTGACTTTAGTGACACTCGGGTGATTATACATCTGTTGACCATTTTCTATTGTCACCCTCAAGGGAGTATTTAGTTGTTGTACTACCCTCAAGTCCTTAGCAGTTTGACTGTCCAAGAAGGTATGAGTGCCACCTGAGTCCACTAGTATAATGACAGACATCTTCTTATTCATTCCCTTAAGCTTCAAAGTATTAGGCATATGTATACTAGTCATAACATTCAGACACACAACTTTCTCTTCCACTTCTTCATGTTCCTGTGATTCTTCAATTTCTTGATCCTCTTCTTCGCCACTTCTTCTTTAGTCATAATGTTCAGCTGCTTGTCCTTGCATACATGCCAGGGTGGTATCTATCCCCACATTTCCAGCATGCACCAAGGATCTTCCTATACTCACATTTTACCTCTGTCATTAATTATTCTTTCCTGCTCCTAGCAAAAGACACGAGTTAGAGTAGGGATCCTGCATCTCATAGTCTCTCCAATTTCTTCTTTGAGCCCACCAATGAAACATTCCAACAAAAAATCCTCTGTAACCCTTGTATTTTTCATCAACACTAATGCCTGAAGGTCTTCAAACTTCTGAAAATAGGCATTCATTGTGTTGGTCAGAACCCGCATCTTAAATTCAGTCACAACCTCGTCACCATTTGCATCATCATACTTCAGGACTAACTATTCACAAAACTCTTCCCACCTCACTTGTCTTCTAGTGATTGTGAATGAGAAATACCATGATTCAGCTTCCTCTTCTAAGTGCAAAGTAGTCATCTCTAACTTCTTAGCTTGATAAGTGATTTTGTACACATTGAAATATTAACACATATCGCATCTTCTCAACCAAGCTCTAGGCTCACCCTCATTATATAATGAAAACTGCAACTTAGGCGGAAATTTTCCACCATTCATTGGTACGTCCCTTCATAATCTCAACTCCTCTATACCTAGGTATGTCCACATCACCTCGGCTGCTCTCCTCACAATCAGATGGTCATTTGTCGTTCCTTCTCTCAATCAACTTCATCAACGCCATTTGTATACTCTCCATCATCTGTTTCATGTCAGATTGATCTGAACTCATTTCAACAAACTTTACGTCTAAGGCGCTAAACTAAAAATCAATTTCTAACTAGATTGGATATGGCCTTCCAATTTTCTCATTTGTTCCTCTTTTTGTTTCGGCCTAGCAGCTTCAGCCCCAACCATTTTCCCACAGTATAATCAAAATCGTAGCTTTGATACCAATTGTAATGTACTTCAAGGAATTCAATAAAATTCATCTAACAACTTAACTACAATTCAGCAACTCTGAAACATAAATTACAATAAGAAGTTCAACAAATTCCCAACAACACCTTAACTACTAAATTTTATCTACTGAATTCAACAATTCAGAAATGTAACCAAAAACAATAAAACATCTACTAATCCAGTAACAAGAATTCAATTCTAGCTCTGTGACCCAGTCAAATACTTCTAGAGAACAAACATAAAAAGGAGATCAATTCGCAACTCTAAGTGAAAGTAGTAAGAAGAACTAAATAGTGACTTTAATTAGGAAAGAAAAGGAGAAAGTATCTGAGAAGGAAAGGAAAAGAAGGATTCAGATTGAAATTTAGAGAGAGAAAGAACGAAGACCACAATAGAGTGAACATACCATTTTTCCTACAATTTTTCTCAATCAAATTTTAGTTATACAATTCTTCTTTGAGTGAACCTAAGCCTTCCGATAGAATTAATCAGGACCCTCCATGTCACCTAACTATCATTTGAATAACTCTCGTTTTCTATTGATCCTTTCACTTAATTAATAGCTAAACGACGTCGTCCACTCCTTAATGAACTCACGCCCAGTTTATTACACGACTGTGGAGGAAGATAGGGGGTAAGAGAGGCGGAGGGGGAGGGGGAGGG